CCTGGGAGTTAGTCAGCTGTCACGGGCTGCTTCCTGGGGGTGAAGGCCTGGTCGAGGACCGGGCCGAGGGAACACTAAAGCCCCGAAATCAACTCAAGGTGGTGGAAGAGGTGAAAGATAATCCCGCGGGGGAACTAGATGTGACAGAAACAATGGCCTCGTAGCCTGGTGGATAGCGCGCAGGACTCGTAATTCTGTGGCGCGGGTTCGATTCCCGCACGAGGCAGAAACAAATGGGCAAAGTTTCTTTCACCCTGAATGCCCCTGTTACCTAGCAGTAAATAGGTACCTGGGAGTTAGTCAGCTGTCACGGGCTGCTTCCTGGGGTGGAGGCCTGGTCGAGGACCGGGCCGCGGGGACACTAAAGCCCCGAAATCATCTCAAGATAACCTCAAGAATGGCAGCAGACCCAAGGATGCTGCTGACGTACTCTGCCACCCGTTATCTAATTTTGTCAATAAAATCTTTAGCCAGGAAGTCTCCCAGATGTCTGGAAAAGGGCGAATGTAATGCCAATGTTAAAAGAAAAGGGAATAGGAAGGCGGCACTAACCTACAGACCACTGTCACTGACAAGTATTCCTTGTAAAGTGCTGGAGAAAGTGATGCAACATCTTGAGAGGATTGACTTTGTGACAACAAAAATCAGCATGGATTTAGAAATGGAACACCGTGTCTAACACACCTGACTGAGTGTTATGGCAAGGTTACCAAAATAACACAGGAAAAGGAAGGCTAGGTAGACTGGATTTTTTCTAGACTGTCAAAAGGCATTTGACACTGTTCCCTCAGGAAAGACTGTTGTACACGATGGAGAACCAGTCTGGGATAACTGGGAATGCACTCAACTGGGTACAAGGGAGTGCCTGAAGGACAGAAACCAGAGAGTCACAATCAGCAAGTACGCTACAAGCTGGAGGAATGTAACAAGTGGGGTCCCACAAGGCTCTGTCCTGGGTCCACTACTCTCTCTAATTTATATGAAAGACCTGCCCGTGGGGACCAACCGTGAAAACATATTCAAACACCTTTTTTATCACATGTAGGAGGCTTGGTCGAGAATCGGGCCGCGGGGAGGTTGAGCCCCGAAATCATTGCAAGGTAGACCGCAAGGTATCATGAAGACCTCTAAATGACCCGATCAGGATTCGAGCCCATGACGCCCAGGATCACACTAAATATAATAAGAACCATGACCACAGAAGCACTGATACACACTTTATATTATATATATATTATATATAATATATATATATATATATATATATATATATATATATATATATATATATATATATATATATATATATATATATTTAATTATAACAAATAAACTGTCCAATCCTCTTGCCAGCATTCATTATATTAGTATTACTATTAGTAATTATTATTTCTAATAGATATAAAGAGTGTTAAATTAAAGCATGAGTGAACTCCACACGGTCCCTCCACCAAGCGTGGGGGCTGACACATGTGTACACACATGGTGGGCCAGGGCCTCCCTGCTGGCCCACCTGCCTGCACCAGCCCTCCCTGCTGGCCCACCTGCCTGCACCAGCCCTCCCTGCTGGTCCACCTGCCTGCACCAGCCCTCCCAGCTGGCCCACCTGCCTGCACCAGCCCTCCCAGCTGGCCCACCTGCCTGCACCAGCCCTCCCTGCTGGCCCACCTGCCTGCACCAGCCCTCCCAGCTGGTCCACCTGCCTGCACCAGCCCTCCCAGCTGGCCCACCTGCCTGCACCAGCCCTCCCAGCTGGCCCACCTGCCTGCACCAGCCCTCCCAGCTGGCCCACCTGCCTGCACCAGCGCTCCCTGCTGGCCCACCTGCCTGCACCAGCCCTCCCAGCTGGCCCACCTGCCTGCACCAGCCCTCCCAGCTGGCCCACCTGCCTGGACCAGCCCTCCCAGCTGGCCCACCTGCCTGCACCAGCGCTCCCTGCTGGCCCACCTGCCTGCACCAGCCCTCCCAGCTGGCCCACCTGCCTGCACCAGCCCTCCCAGCTGGCCCACCTGCCTGCACCAGCCCTCCCTGCTGGCCCACCTGCCTGCACCAGCCCTCCCTGCTGGCCCACCTGCCTGCACCAGCCCTCCCAGCTGGCCCACCTGCCTGCACCAGCCCTCCCAGCTGGCCCACCTGCCTGCACCAGCCCTCCTGCTGGCCCACCTGCCTGCACCAGCCCTCCCTGCTGGCCCACCTGCCTGCACCAGCCCTCCCTGCTGGCCCACCTGCCTGCACCTGCCCTCCCAGCTGGCCCACCTGCCTGCACCAGCCCTCCCTGCTGGCCCACCTGCCTGGACCAGCCCTCCCAGCTGGCCCACCTGCCTGCACCAGCGCTCCCTGCTGGCCCACCTGCCTGCACCAGCCCTCCCAGCTGGCCCACCTGCCTGCACCACCCCTCCCAGCTGGCCCACCTGCCTGCACCAGCCCTCCAGCTGGCCCACCTGCCTGCACCAGCCCTCCCTGCTGGCCCACCTGCCTGGACCAGCCCTCCCAGCTGGCCCACCTGCCTGCACCAGCCCTCCCTGCTGGCCCACCTGCCTGCACCAGCCCTCCCTGCTGGCCCACCTGCCTGGACCAGCCCTCCCAGCTGGCCCACCTGCCTGCACCAGCGCTCCCTGCTGGCCCACCTGCCTGCACCTGCCCTCCCAGCTGGCCCACCTGCCTGCACCAGCCCTCCCTGCTGGCCCACCTGCCTGCACCAGCCCTCCCAGCTGGCCCACCTGCCTGCACCAGCCCTCCCTGCTGGCCCACCTGCCTGCACCAGCCCTCCCTGCTGGCCCACCTGCCTGGACCAGCCCTCCCAGCTGGCCCACCTGCCTGCACCAGCGCTCCCTGCTGGCCCACCTGCCTGCACCAGCCCTCCCAGCTGGCCCACCTGCCTGCACCAGCCCTCCCTGCTGGCCCACCTGCCTGCACCAGCCCTCCCAGCTGGCCCACCTGCCTGCACCAGCCCTCCCTGCTGGCCCACCTGCCTGGACCAGCCCTCCCAGCTGGCCCACCTGCCTGCACCAGCCCTCCCTGCTGGCCCACCTGCCTGGACCAGCCCTCCCAGCTGGCCCACCTGCCTGCACCAGCGCTCCCTGCTGGCCCACCTGCCTGCACCAGCCCTCCCAGCTGGCCCACCTGCCTGCACCAGCCCTCCCTGCTGGCCCACCTGCCTGGACCCTCCCAGCCCTCCCAGCTGGCCCACCTGCCTGCACCAGCGCTCCCTGCTGGCCCACCTGCCTGCACCAGCCCTCCCAGCTGGCCCACCTGCCTGCCCACCAGCCCTCCCAGCTGGCCCACCTGCCTGCACAGCCCTCCCAGCTGGCCCACCTGCCTGCACCAGCCCTCCAGCTGGCCCACCTGCCTGCACCAGCCCTCCCAGCTGGCCCACCTGCCTGCACCAGCCCTCCCTGCTGGCCCACCTGCCTGCACCAGCCCTCCACAGCTGGCCCACCTGCCTGCACCAGCCCTCCCAGCTGGCCCACCTGCCTGCACCAGCCCTGCTGGCCACCTGCCTGCACCAGCCCTCCCAGCTGGCCCACCTGCCTGCACCAGCCCTCCCAGCTGGCCCACCTGCCTGCACCAGCCCTCCCAGCTGGCCCACCTGCCTGCACCAGCCCTCCCAGCTGGCCCACCTGCCTGCACCAGCCCTCAGTCTGCCACTGGCCCAGTCTGCCCCTGCACCACCAGTCTGGCCACCTGGCCACACCAGCCTGGCCACCAGCCTGCACCAGCTGGCCCACCTGCCTGCCTGCACCACCCTCCCAGTCTGCCCACACTGCCTGCACTGGCCACTCCACAGCCCACCACTGCCTGCACCACAGCCTGCTGGCCCACCACAGCCTGCACCACCCCCTCCCTGTCTGGCCCCCCTGCCTGCACCACACATCCCTGGCACACCACAGCTGGCCCACCTGCCTGGACCACCACAGTCTGGCCAGCCTCCCAGCTGGCCCACCTGCCTGCACCAACCCT